TCAAATAAGCCAATCTAAAATATATTTACCCAGAACTAAAACTCTTATTTGGACCCCGAAAATTTTACAAATATTGGAGGCCCTAAGCAGCCAACTAAATGGCCTAGACCTAGGGCAACCCTATCACTATTTCTCTATTTGGGATTCACATGACTTGACCCATTGTATCCACGCGAGTAAATTATTCATTTATATACGTGGCATTATTTTATGCTCACCGGAAACTTATCTTACAAACCTTACACAAGGCGTGAAAGAGGTAACACAAAAGTCTCCATTTTTGAACTTACAATGTTCTTAAGGTGAGTTAATCGAGGAATCGTGTAATTTTTAATTTGCGTTTAATATTATTTTAGTTCATATCATGTCGAGTTTATGTCAAATTTTATGTCTTTTTCATCTTCGTAAAAAAATGACACTCTTAGTGGCTCTTGTATGACCACGTCTTTTTTGGGTCTCTTCCGATGGCTCTACTCTTTTGGCATAAGTGAAATTGCAAAGAACTTTCAAACGCGTCTTTAGAGTGTCCCCACAATTGCTATTTAAATCAATGGTTATGAAGTTTCTTTTGACAATGGTTGCTGGAATGAATATCAAACAAGAAGGGTCACATCACTAGGAAATAATTTATGTTTTTTTTATAGAGTTTTTCTTTGAAATTTATTTTAAATAAAAAACTATTATGTTAATAATAAATAAAAACATACTTTATTATTATTATCTAGATATCCATACACCTTAGTAGACCTCTCGAAAAAGTATAAAAAAATACTTGAAGGATAAAATTCCTCGTCACCCTAGAATAAAAAAAGTTTTTTTTGTAGTTCTTAGTTTGTGAAGGTGGATTGTTAGATGACATATTTGATTTTTTTTAATTGAGGTCAAATTTAAACATGTGCTAGAGAGATAAACTATTTATTTATCCAATAAGATAGATAATAATTTGAATTTTATATCCATATATTTTTTTCGCTCATTATATCACCCGTTTTTGTCACGTCTGCCAAAAAATCTAGTATGAATGTCAAACAAGAAGGGACATTACTAGGATATCCGTATGTCAAAAAACTTGGGCACGAGTTATGACTAGGATAAATGATGTATGGATTTTAGAGAAGAGGGAAAACATGGGTAATTAGTTGTAGGCACATATATGTATTACTATATATCAACTAAGTTTTGAAGAAAAAAGCAAATCTGGATATTAAAAAAAAAAAAAGAAAATTACAAAACAGTCGCAACTAAAAAAAGTAAAATATCACTACAAAAAAAAAAACTTTAGAAAATAGGATAAATACCATAATTAGTCTCTGAAATTTTACTTCAGTTTTAATTTGATNGAAAAAGAAAATTACAAAACAGTCGCAACTAAAAAAAGTAAAATATCACTACAAAAAAAAAACTTTAAAAAATAGGATAAATACCATAATTAGTCTCTGAAATTTTACTTCAGTTTTAATTTGATTCTTAAACTTTCAATTCTCCCAATTTAGTCCCTTAATTTTCAATTTCGTTTCAATTAAGTCATTTCATCAATTTTTAGTATTAGATCAAATGGAAACATATGATCTAACGGTGAAAATTGATCAGATTGGACTAGTCTATATGTGATCTAATGGTAAAAATAGACAAAAGGACTTAATTGAAACAAAATTCATAGTTAAGAGATTAAATTGAGACAAATAAAAATTCAGGGACTAAATTAAAATCCAAAGTAAAATTTAAGGAGCAATTATGATTTTTAGCCTCAAAAATATTAATAAAAGCATTAGGTGGAATTTCCCATCAGATCACTATCACTGTGAGNAATTGAGACAAATAAAAATTCAGGGACTAAATTAAAATCCAAAGTAAAATTTAAGGAGCAATTATGATTTTTAGCCTAAAAAATATTAATAAAAGCATTAGGTGGAATTTCCCATCAGATCACTATCACTGTGAGTTTGAGTCACGTGGGGATGCTTTAACCAATATATTGGTTTGACCGTGATTATTCCATGAACCTTCCTTTTTGCCTTAATATAAATTTGATATAATGATTTTATTTTTGTTTATTTAGCTAAATAATTCTACATCTTGACAATCACTCTAATGAATTTGAGTTGTATAACTAGGCGTGGCAAAATGCAACACAACTCAATTGTCCGACACAAAACGACATGAAGTTAGCGAGTTTGTGTTCGACTCCAATAAATTTGGATGATAAACGGGTGGATCTATCAAACCCGCTTATTACACGGATCGTGTTCAATGAAGTATATCAATCCGTCAAACACCCGTTTATCTATTTAAATTTTAGGAATATTTGGGCAGTAATACTATACTGACCAAATTTTATGATCAAATTTAAAGCCCAAATTTAGAGTCGGGCTCGGGCTCGGGTTGTTTATATATATAAAAAAATGCCACCCATTGAGTGGCGGGTTAGGCTACGAGTAGCCTATCACTGTTCGAAGTCCAGCCTGGCCGATAACTTTGTTGAGTAAAGGATTGGGCCTACCCTACCCAAGCTCGACCTGGGCAAAAAAAAAATTTGATGAAGATGTTAGAAGTTGATGTTAGTTGGTGGAATATAGTTTTTGATGAAGATGTTAGATGTTGAATTTAGAGTATGTTTTTCTCGTTTGTTTTGGCTTTTTACTTTGTAATATGTTAGTGGGGGAATTTGGTTTTGGGTTAGTAGTATTTTTTATCCTTTTAAGTATGCAAATTTTATGAATCTTGTCAATTTGATACTTAAAATATTCAATTCGTATTTGAATTTAAATATAAATTCAATACTTTAAGGACTAAATTAATGAAATTAATACAATAATGACCAAATTTACAAAACATACACACTTTATGAATCAAAAATATTATTATGTGTTGGATGTTTTCAATTTGGTGTGTACAAAATTTTTATGATAAACGGATCAAATAAGTATGTAATTGTAGATGGAGGAAGGGTTATCATGTGAACCGAAAATTGGCCCAAACGACCCATTTATTTGTCGAGTTACACAGGTCATGTTGGATAATTCACCAAATAAATAGGTTGGTCATATTCGTCTTTTGCGACATGTTTAATAAACGGTTGGTGTGTACTGGTTGAGTGATTTTTAACACTAATTTGTTTAAACCTATCAGTATTTTGCTTAATCCGACACGACTGTTAGACATATTTATAACTTTTGATATAAGATTCCAANAAAAAAAAAACTTTAGAAAATAGGATAAATACCATAATTAGTCTCTGAAATTTTACTTCAGTTTTAATTTGATTCTTAAACTTTCAATTCTCCCAATTTAGTCCCTTAATTTTCAATTTCGTTTCAATTAAGTCATTTCATCAATTTTTAGTATTAGATCAAATGGAAACATATGATCTAACGGTGAAAATTGATCAGATTGGACTAGTCTATATGTGATCTAATGGTAAAAATAGACAAAAGGACTTAATTGAAACAAAATTCATAGTTAAGAGATTAAATTGAGACAAATAAAAATTCAGGGACTAAATTAAAATCCAAAGTAAAATTTAAGGAGCAATTATGATTTTTAGCCTAAAAAATATTAATAAAAGCATTAGGTGGAATTTCCCATCAGATCACTATCACTGTGAGTTTGAGTCACGTGGGGATGCTTTAACCAATATATTGGTTTGACCGTGATTATTCCATGAACCTTCCTTTTTGCCTTAATATAAATTTGATATAATGATTTTATTTTTGTTTATTTAGCTAAATAGTTCTACATCTTGACAATCACTCTAATGAATTTGAGTTGTATAACTAGGCGTGGCAAAATGCAACACAACTCAATTGTCCGACACAAAACGACACGAAGTTAGCGAGTTTGTGTTCGACTCCAATAAATTTGGATGATAAACGGGTGAATCTATCAAACCCGCTTATTACACGGATCGTGTTCAATGAAGTATATCAATCCGTCAAACACCTGTTTATCTATTTAAATTTTAGGAATATTTGGGCAGTAATACTATACTGATCAAATTTTATGATCAAATTTAAAGCCCAAATTTAGAATCGGGCTCGGGCTCGGGTTGTTTATATATATAAAAAAATGCCACCCATTGAGTGGCGGGTTAGGCTACGAGTAGTCTATCTCTGTTCGAAGTCCAGCCTGGCCGATAACTTTGTTGAGTAAAGGATTGGGCCTACCCTACCCAAGCTCGACTTGGGCAATTTTATGAATCTTGTCAATTTGATACTTAAAATATTCAATTCGTATTTGAATTTAAATATAAATTCAATACTTTAAGGACTAAATTAATGAAATTAATACAATAATGACCAAATTTACAAAACATACACACTTTATGAACCAAAAATATTATTATGTGTTGGATGTTTTCAATTTGGTGTGTACAAAATTTTTATGATAAACGGATCAAATAAGTATGTAATTGTAGATGGAGGAAGGGTTATCATGTGAACCGAAAATTGGCCCAAACGACCCATTTATTTGTCGGGTTACACAGGTCATGTTGGATAATTCACCAAATAAATAGGTTGGTCATATTCGTCTTTTGCGACATGTTTAATAAACGGTTGGTGTGTACTGGTTGAGTGATTTTTAACACTAATTTGTTTAAACCTATCAGTATTTTGCTTAATCCGACACGACTGTTAGACATATTTATAACTTTTGATATAAGATTCCAAGAAGATTTAATAATAATAAATAAACTATCAGTCACATTATAATAGGGTAAGTTTTGAACCGCACGAAAAGCTTAACGATCTGGGCATTACCTCGAAAAGAGGCTAATACGGCATATGCGAAGAAGTAAAAGGAAATCAAACGCAAAATAAAACTAAGTGGGGGAATCTCCTCGAAATTCCATTGCAGAGAGGCCCATCGTTGTAGGGATTTTCCACACGGAACATATTTCCAACACAGAGTTGACTCCAAAAGAGAGCAAATGGGACCTGTGTATTTTATCAAACTATATATTATTCACATTCACATTCACCACCACCCGCCCACCTCACAACCCACCATCTAAAACAAAATCTCCTGCCCACAACAGATTGGTAGGCAAGATGATGTTTAATCTTGTGATCAAATTTGCAGTTTTTCTCTGCTTTCTCTCTCTAAATTTAGTCTCTTCTTCTCTCTCCAACGCATCTCCATGTCCACTGGATCTAAACTATGTCAAAACTATTCCATGGGACTCCTCTTCCTGCCAGAACCACCATGGAACCACTGGAAATGATGCATCAACCACATGTTGTCAAACACTCCTCAGCCTCTATGGTGTAGCCTTTGCTCAGTACCTCAACAAGACCTCTCTTTTCAGGCTTCCTGACCTCCCAACCTCCATTTCCTGTCTCTCTGATCTCCAAACAAACCTCAATTCTCTCTCTTTACCCACCAATCTCACGTCCATATGCTTTCAACCCCAACAATATGTCAACACAACAAATGTTTGTGCAAATGTCCAAACCAAACAAGACTGGCTCGATAAGATCGGACCATCCACTTCCCTTGACACTGCCTGCCGGCCAGACCTCTCTGACCTTACTTACTGCGATTCATGTGTCCTTGCCGGATTTCAGGTTCAATCCAAGTTGGTTTCCATTGATGGCAATGCTTCTCACAGTCGAGGCTGCTTTTACTATACAATTCTGTATGCTGCTGGTATTGTAAATAAGCTTGGCCCAGAAAGTCTGGGTGCACTCACATGTATTTTGGGGCTGCCTATGTCCTTGCCTACTGGGACAGAGAATACACGACGATTGGTACTAGTTTTCGGGTCTTCTGGAGTTAGTTTTTCCCTATCAGTCATGTCCTGTTTTCTGGCTTTGTACTTTGGGTTGAATAGGTGGAGGAGGAGGAAGATTTTTGCGAGAGATTCGTCTGGTTTTGGGTTTGATTTGGATGATCATGGTCATAGAGCACGTTTAAATTTGCGCCCCAACCATGGATCAGTATGGTTCCAAATTCAAGACCTTAAGAAGGCAACCAATAATTTTTCCCCAAAATGTTTGATTGGGAAAGGCCATTTTGGTATTGTTTATCGAGGTACTCTCCGAGATGGAACCATGGTTGCTGTCAAGAAGATCATAGAATCGGACATTCAAGGGGATGCTGACTTTTGCAATGAAGTCGAGATTATTAGCACTTTGAGGCATCGAAATTTAGTGCCACTTAGAGGTAGTTGTGTGACAGATGTGTTTGATGAAAACTATGGTATTAGAGAGAATCAGAGATACCTTGTTTATGATTACATGTCAAATGGGAATCTCAATGACTATTTGTTTGTTTCGAAAGAAAATCAAAATGGAATTTGCAAGAAAAAATTGACATGGCCTCAGAGGAAGAGCATAATCTTGGATGTGGCAAAGGCATTAGCTTATCTACACTATGGAGTGACACCCGCAATATATCATAGAGATATTAAGCCCTCTAACATACTGTTAGATGCAGATATGAGAGCAAGAGTGGCGGATTTTGGCTTGGCAAGACAAAGCACAGAAGGCCAGTCTCATCTCACTACACGAGTGGCGGGGACTCATGGATACTTAGCTCCAGAATACGCACTTTATGGGCACTTAACCGAAAAGAGTGATGCTTATAGCTTTGGAGTGGTGGTTTTGGAGATCATGTGTGGTAGAAAAGCTCTTGATTTGTCATCCTCGGGATCGCCATCAACGTTTCTGATTACAGATTGGGCTTGGTCCCTTGTGAAAGCTGGAAAAATTGATGAAGTTTTTGATGTTTCCTTGTTGGGAAATGAGGAATCTGTGAATAGAAATCCTAGGGCGATAATGGAAAGATTTGTGCTGGTTGGGATTTTGTGTTCCCATGTAATGGTGGCTTTGAGGCCTACAATTTTGGATGCGTTGAGAATGCTTGAAGGGGATATTGAGACCCCCGAAATTCCCGATCGCCCGATATATGCCGACGGGAATTTTTTCAGTTCATTGAGCACATCAAGGAGGCCTCCATTGCAGACATGAGCTGTTCAGTTGACATGTAAAAGCTTGTAGTGTATATAGTGTGTAATTTAACTTAGAGTTGAGATTCTAATGGAAATAGAAAGTCTTATTGTTAGTCCTAACATGATGTTCCTTACCTCCCTATCAGTTCTCTAAAAGGAGTGAAGCATAGTTCCCTCTTACTTTTGTTTTAAGCTTGAATCTCCCTTCTTGCCTTAAGCTTTCTAAGGTTTCTAACAACCAACAAATATGATTCAATGTCCTAACTCATTTTAACTCGAAGTAGATTTGAACTATCTTGACAAACAGAGTTATCGAATTCAAGATAAATCTCCGATAGCAAAGTTGATCGGTTAATTGAAGAAGAAATGAGCATTAGCCCTTGATTCATTGGCACCATCTAGTTCAGTTGTTTATAAATAGTGAATGAATTTTCAAGTTCCCCCAACCTACTTTAAAATCTCAAGTGAATGAATAAAAATCTTCAAAAAGTCTTTCGTTTATATGTTATTACAAACAATTCTATTTTAAGGTTTATACCCCTATTTGCTTGGCTTCGGAACTGTAAAGGTGCAAAATAGTAAACTCGATATTTGGCAACCAACAAATACAAGTCAATGTTCTAAGTCCTAACTCAAACAGAGTTATCGAATTCAAGATAAATGTCGAATAGCAAGTTCATCGGTTAACTAAATATGAAATGAGTATTAGTCTTTGATTCAATAGTACAATCCAGTTCAACTGTTTATATATTCAATAAATGAATTTTCAAGTTCTGCCAACGTACTTTAAAATCTCAAGTGGATGAATAAGAATCGTCAGAAAGTCTTTGATTTACATGTTTTTAGACAAAGTTCTATCTAAGGTCTATAACCTTGTCTGCTAGGTTGGACTTCATTTTTCAAAAGAAAGAATCTGAAAGCCCCTATGAATTGTATGTCCAATGAATGCCATTAACAACTCAGGATCATGTCTAGACTAGTGGACGGTGGAATGGGCTCCTATATCCGATCAAGGACATGCTCTTGACAGATTAGGATCACAAGATTCCAAAAACAAAATGAAAATCTAAAGCTTAGTCGAATCATTTTTCTACCCAAAAGTTCAAATATCGTGTGGTGACTTTTTATTCTCCAATAATTTTTTTTTAAGCAAATTTTGTTTCGAAAAAATAAAAAAAAAATTTATTACTATATAGCAAAAGTTATCTAATACCAAGGTAACTCAAGTGATAACATGGACGAGCTATAAATTCAGACGTCTTGAGTTCGAATCTTGTGGGGCGCGCCCATGAGGTATTCCCCATAAATACTCTAGTCTCAACGTGGATGGTTTGCCTTTAACCGGACCCAAAAATAGAATTAGTTGAAGTACACGTAAACTAATCCAAACACTCCTAACTGTTGAAAAAAAAACATAAAAATTATATATACGAATCATAGAATATAAACAATACACGTATCATATACATATGTACGTTCGTATAACTATGTTAAGGCAATCTATATAATCAAACACATAGCTATTTGAATTTTTATCTTACATATTTTTCCTCTTAAAAATATCATATCACTTATTTCTGTCATATGTTCAATTATTTTATATTTGATTAATTTGTAGTTTAACATAATTTTTATTTCAAACATTATCCATATACGATACACATGCTAAAAAAATTTAATATAATGAGATCGATTTTTTGGATGCTTGAATTTTATGTTTTATCGTGCCTTCAGGCACAAATTATGACTAGTTAACTCATATGAGGGAAGCAAACTCCTACAAAGAAAAGGAAAAAGAGAAAATCCGAAACAAACGTTGCTTAAAAAATATAATTAAACAATATATTACCAAATAGTACTTTGTACCTTTTTTAATGGCATCTAAAATGAATGTCAATGTGAGGATCACATTGAAACCTATTTATGATATTCAGGGTGTAATGTAAAAAAAATAATCTTTTAGGAAATAAAATAGAAATTGAAACATCTTTCAGGTACAAAGTACAAAAAATCCTAAATTTTTTTGGAGTTAGTTTTCCCTCTATCTCTAGCAAAGAAGCTGTGCACCTTCTTTCGATCCCCTAGAGCAAACAATTAGAACAGAAACCATCCCTTTATTTCCCAATATTCATGTTTGTCGAAATGTTCATGTCTATCCCCAACTCACTTTCAATCAGCATCTGCGAATTTGGGCTTTCTCTGTTCGGAGTATTCAAAGAAGCCATGAATAAGCAAACATTGATTTGATAAGCCAAGGAAAAACAACGACAACTTTGTAATGCCACTCAAGTGACTTGCTCTAATGAGACTCCACCCCATATTACCTATTCTCAAGGTGACCCCTTATATTCACGGGCCGGCCTAAAAAATATAATTAAGGTGAATTCAATTTTACGTCCTAAAAAATTTTAAGGTTTTTATTTTGTACTCTCAAGATTAAATTTCACTTATTGTACCCCTAATATATTAAAAATATTACGATGTGACATTTCTGTTAATTTTTTCATCAGTGTCAATGGATTAATTTTTGACAAAAAAATAACGAAAACTAATAGAAAGATCACATCGTAACACTTTTAATACATTAAGGATATAATATAAGAAATTTAATTTTTAAGAATACAAAATGAAAATATTGAAATCTTTCACGATATAAAATGTGAAAATTCATTCTAACAATTAAAAACTTCTTAAAATAGCCCCACTTTTAATAGGTTTTCGGTCTTAATCAAGATAGGTCAAGGACGCGTAAGGAATGGTTAGTAGCTGTGTAGTCTCATCCGAGAATCTAATATCTCCTTGTACAGCATTTTTTCCTTTGATAAATAGACAAAAAAAAAAATAAAGAAAGGAAGGAGTTGATTTAGGTTCCTCATCAACAAGAAATGTTCTTAAGCATAGGAACAAATTACAGCCAGCCTTTGTCTTGGTTCCTGTGTCCTACACTTGAACATCACAGACATGCAAAACAGCTGCAAACAAATGTATATATGCTTACATTTTTGCTTATGCTATAACGTTTGGAGTTTATTTCATGTACTCACACAAAAGGGATCAATCTTGGCAAGCAAGGATAGTTTAAGTAGACAAAAATAAACCAATTTGTGCACTATGACCTCAAGCTCATTGGGCACTAGGTCTAGAAATTAGTGTGTAAACCAAAATTAGGATTAACATAACAGCCATTTAGAACATGAAGGCGGTAGACAGTGCTCATGCAAATGCCCCTTGGGCCAAAACATTGTAAAAGGAATAAATATGGGTGCATTGGATGACGTCGTAGAGGGGGTCTTAGAGGGGGTGATAGGTTCGATATTTCTCACCCCCTTTTTAAATTAGCTTGAGTTACGGTGACCGACTCATAAGAGCTGGAGAGAATAGTCTGCACAAACTTGAACACACTGTAACCACAAGAGAGAGAGAGAGAAGGGGGGGGGGGCAATGGGCCTAAGTGAGTGTGTTTTTTCGTGATTAAAAGTTTTCAATTAAGGCAAAAAGTGAAAAACCCTAGGAAATGCCAAAAGAATGTATTATTGTCACTACACTCATGTAGATTTTGGCCAAGTAATTTGATTCTAATTCTTACCATATAATACACACACACAATCAAAATACATAATTGGATTTTTATTCAAGTTAGAGATAACCTATTGTTACCGTTGGATAAACATGAATTGTACCTAATACTTGGACTCACGACTAATTGTTGGTTTATAAGGTCCCTAAATCATGAGGAACACTCCAATACTACCTTTGGTAACATAAACTTACATTTTTTTGATGTGTAAGTTACAACTGCAAAAAAATGTGATCAATCCTAAAATGTTATAATTAATAAAGAAAATCACAACTTTAAAGGTTAAATTATAATTTTTAAATATCAAGTTACAACAGATCACAATATTTCATGATTACTAATTGGTACACACGTGCATTGCACGTAAACCATTTTGAATTGTATTTTTTATTTTTGTTGTTTATTTTGTGCAATATGGATTATATGTTTTTGTTTTTATTGTATGTAAGGATGTTAGATACCAAAAATATTTTTATGTTATTCTGCATGTCCAAGATCAACCAAACTCAACAAAATATTTAGAGATGCAGAAGATATTGTTTTGGCCGGCCTTTATTTGGTAACTACCAACTTTTCGAGAAAATAAAGTTGCAGCAACTAAAATTTTAAAATATGCAAGAAATCTCGTTCACTCCATTTGTGCAATGACTTTCTCTGTCTTTATAGGTCTTTGCCTTGTTAATGCGTTCAAACTCTGGGTATTTTGTGCAGCATCTCCTTTATTGCAGTGCACTAGAATCTATTCAAAAAACTTTGGAACCTACCAAATTCCACATTGCAACCTTTCTAACTAATTATAAAGCCTCAACCATGTAGAATGAATAAACAAATCAATTGAAAAGAACAAATAACAATAACACACTATTAGCATCTACTCAGAACCCTCAAACAAAATAGGTCTTTTGTATTTAAAGAGAGCATGTATATATGTATGTATGTATGTATGTATGTATATACACTCATCTTTCTTCTGTTCTCTACTAGTTTCACCTTATCAAACAAAACAAGAATAAAATTTATGGAGAGAGAGTAAAAAGAAATAACAAAGATTTAGAATTTACTCTACTCGCTTCCTCTATTTATAGGCAACAAAACAAGAAAGGTTTTACTAATTGGGGTAATTAAGTGAATATAGAAAAAGGCCTATATCTTTAGCTTCTCTATGTGGGGGTTGGGAAAATTACAAGGCAGAGAAAATATTAATAGATAATATTAAATTCTCTTTATGCAATTGTGTAAGAAGAGTTTGGAGATTTAATTTTTTTTCATAAATCTTGACATAATAAATGTGAATTTATAATAGTATTTTATGATAGATTTAAAAATTTAGAAACTCAAAAGTTTTTAACATTTAAGTCAAATTTTTGGTTTAAGGCATAATTGTCTTTGTAAGATCACTTAATAACAAAATAGGAGTGTGACATTAATTATGAAGGATAATGATGAAATAGTTGAATTATTAGGGGTACAAGCAGAAAAAAAAAAGTTTTTCAACTGTGTTAATATTTTAAAATAGTATAGATAAATTAACCTNTATTATTAGGGGTAAAAGCAGAAAAAAAAAGTTTTTCAACTGTGTTAATATTTTAAAATAGTATAGATAAATTAACCTAAATAGTTATAACTTCACATTTAAAATGTATAATTTGACCTTAAAAAATGGTAACTTTCGATATGATACTACTGATCTCCACAAAGAATTTCTCCTACACTTGATAGACTCAATCCTTCCATAAAGTGATCTCAGACGATTGCTAGATGTTAGGTTTAACTATCTTGTTTTAGGATTTTCTTTGATGATCACAATCGACACATTTAAAGTAAGTAAAATGAAAATCAAACTATTAACAAAAAGAAAGACACTTTTATTAATTTAGAAAGATTTATGAGCTACAACAAACTAATGAAACAACCTTAAAACTAATTCTATCCTAAAACTAATCTAAAACAACTCTTAGAAATGTCCAAATTGTGGAGCTTTGATGGGTTTGACCTTGTTTTTGTTCTACAATTAGAGGCTCTTTTATAGGCATTTCTTCAACGATAGTTACACTGGTTCTTTGGGTAGTTTCTTTTCTTGTTTCAAATGCTATCTTTCTATCCCATAGACTTGATTGACTTAAATAATTACTATTCTTTTTTCAATCACAGAGCCACAAGGGAGTTGTAATCGTCTTTAAACTCAAAAAACACGTTGATTGCCTTTGTCTGCTCTTTCACTAATTAAATGAATGTCACGTGATGCGCCCCTTTGGCTTTATTCATTCCTAGAACAGATGACATACATTTTTTATTCACTAAAATTGTAGATTATAGTCCAAATATGTATTTATTTTATTTTTGGGGTTGTAGAATTACCAAATGTGTGGTATGGGTAGGTGTGTGTATGTGTGAGAGAGAAAAAACATTATCACGTGATATCAACATTTAATAATATGTTAATAAATTAGTAAACGAACCCTACACAACTCAATAACTACCCCTCTATGTAATGCAATAACAACTAATTCTCCCTATGCAAGTTAATAACTAGCAACATGCAAAAAAGTGAAATCCATCTTACCTATTCAGTATCTTATTATTAGATGGTAATATCACGTGACAATGTTATCGTGGTATCACCGTTGTTGTATTGAATATTTACTGGAGAGAGACTTATACAATCAATCCCAAACAATTAGGACATGAAACTTAGTTTGGTTTGATTTATTTACGCGAGAGGGAGAGGAAGGAATGAAAATTACCAGAAATATGGGGGACTTGAGGCATTCACTAAAAGATGAAATGACCTGTTCTTCTCACTAGAACAAAATATGCCTAATAAAAGCCCCTACAAAAGCGCTTCGGTGTTTGGTTCCAATTATCAAACAGTTGGTGGGCACAGACACCTCTCTGTTCCTTCCTCTTTTTCCACTCAATCTCCTCCCTCTCTCTCTATTCCCTCTCCTCTGCAACACCTCTCTCTCTTTCTCTCTCTCATGGGAGATCCTCCACGTGCACCGGCGCAGAATTTCTACAGCATCCTCGGAATCCCAAAAACTGCAACCCTTACAGATATATGCAAAGCTTACAAATCCCTTGTCATGAAATGGAATCCCGATAAGAATCCGAACAACAAATCTGATGCCGAAGTCAAGATCAAATCTATCAATGAAGCCTATAGGGTACAATTCATCAAATTCTCATTCACATTTCTTAAATGCCGCACAAATACATATAAAATTCGAAGCTTTAGGGTTCATAATTTTGTTATTTTTCTTGAATTTCAGGTTCTTAGTACGAAGAAGAGAGAAGAATATTTTAACATCGACGACCAAAAATCGCCGGAAAATTCGTTTCATAACCGGAAAGATGACGAGGTCTTCCCTTCCAGCCCGTCTCTTCTATCTCGGAATGCTAGCCGGAGGAGCCACACACCAACGCCGAGTCCAAGAAACTTACCGAAAAGTGCGAGCCGGAGAAGCACAACTCCACCGCCGAGTTTATCGAGAAGCTCAAGTCGGAGTAGTACTTCGAGCACCCGAGAACAACCAGATTCTCTATCGAAAATTACGAGTCGCCGGAGCACCACGCCGATCATTTTTTCGCAGTCGACCGCTCGGAGAAAACCTCAGCCCATTGAGAAAATGCTGGAGTGCACGCTTGAGGAGTTGTGCAATGGTTGCGTGAAAAAGATCAAAATTACAAGAGAGGTCATCTCAAACACCGGGTATATACAAATCTTTCCCCATCATTAATTATTATTTTTATTCTTATTTTAATTACACTTCGCCATACTCAAATTATGATATTTGTGTCATTTTTTTTTTTTGAACGGTCGAGATGTTTTATGCCTATTTCGATTAATTTTTTCTTCGATCTAATCAAAATCAAGCTATCCATGTCGAGATTAAGCTATATACAAGGAATAAATTCCTTGTTGCTGAGCCCCCTAAAAATTTGTAAAATTTAAACTCATGACATCTAGGTTTATAATTCATTTATATTGCCACCTGTACAAGCCATTAGAATTTTGTGTCATTTTGTCCCTTCAACTACTTTCTCGCACATTTGACTGATTTCACATTGTCCAATACGCAAGCATCCATTAATTTTTTTTGACGAAAAATATCAATGTATCAAGATAAACAGAAACAAAAATCGCATAATTCAAGAAAAAAAGTAAAATAACTTTCTGTTAAATTCCCTAACGAACATCAATCATTTGGGGACTAGGTAATTAATAACATAGTTGGGGAAAAAATGACACAAACCTTATAGCTTGGAGAGGCATAGTGAAACTAACCCTTTAATTATTTTTATATATTCAACTCTATGATGAGAGTAAAGAATTAAAGCTTACCCAACCTCTCATTTAAAGAATTAGCAAAACCACGTGGAAATTCTTACAAATCTACTAGGATTTATATAAATACAAGATAAAATTGTCAAAAAAAAACTCAAACAGTCTGACATTTTTGCAAGCAATACCAATTAATTAGGCTTGTCATATTAAAATGATTTTATTTATGCTTGAACTTGAAGCTAATCTAAAACTATTTATTATCGGACTCTTCTCATTTTCGGAGAATCAAATCNATGTGTGAGAGAGAAAAAACATTATCACGTGATATCAACATTTAATAATATGTTAATAAATAAGTAAACGAACCTTACACAACTCAATAACTACCCCTCTATATAATGAAATAACAACTAATTCTCCCTATGCAAGTTAATAACTACCAACATGCAAGAAAGTGAAATCCATCTTACCTATTTAGTATCTTATTATTAGATGGTAATATCACGTGACAATGTTATCGTGGTATCACCGTTGTTGTATTGAATATTTACTGGAGAGAGACTTATACAATCAATCCCAAACAATTAGGACATGAAACTTAGTTTGGTTTGATTTATTTACGCGAGAGGGAGAGGAAGGAATGAAAATTACCAGAAATATGGGGGACTTGAGGCATTCACTAAAAGATGAAATGACCTGTTCTTCTCACTAGAACAAAATATGCCTAATAAAAGCCCCTACAAAAGCGCTTCTGTGTTTGGTTCCGATTATCAAACAGTTGGTGGGCACAGACACCTCTCTGTTCCTTCCTCTTTTTCCACTCAATCTCCTCCCTCTCTCTCTATTCCCTCTCCTCTGCAACACCTCTCTCTCTTTCTCTCTCTCATGGGAGATCCTCCACGTGCACCGGCGCAGAATTTCTACAGCATCCTCGGAATCCCAAAAACTGCAACCCTTACAGATATATGCAAAGCTTACAAATCCCTTGTCATGAAATGGAATCCCGATAAGAATCCGAACAACAAATCTGATGCCGAAGTCAAGATCAAATCTATCAATGAAGCCTATAGGGTACAATTCATCAAATTCTCATTCACATTTCTTAAATGCCGCACAAATACATATAAAATTCGAAGCTTTAGGGTTCATAATTTTGTTATTTTTCTTGAATTTCAGGTTCTTAGTACGAAGAAGAGAGAAGAATATTTTAACATCGACGACCAAAAATCGCCGGAAAATTCGTTTCATAACCGGAAAGATGACGAGGTCTTCCCTTCCAGCCCGTCTCTTCTATCTCGGAATGCTAGCCGGAGGAGCCACACACCAACGCCGAGTCCAAGAAACTTACCGAAAAGTGCGAGCCGGAGAAGCACAACTCCACCGCCGAGTTTATCGAGAAGCTCAAGTCGGAGTAGTACTTCGAGCACCCGAGAACAACCAGATTCTCTATCGAAAATTACGAGTCGCCGGAGCACCACGCCGATCATTTTTTCGCAGTCGACCGCTCGGAGAAAACCTCAGCCCATTGAGAAAATGCTGGAGTGCACGCTTGAGGAGTTGTGCAATGGTTGCGTGAAAAAGATCAAAATTACAAGAGAGGTCATCTCAAACACCGGGTATATACAAATCTTTCCCCATCATTAATTATTATTTTTATTCTTATTTTAATTACACTTCGCCATACTCAAATTATGATATTTGTGTCATTTTTTTTTTTTGAACGGTCGAGATGTTTTATGCCTATTTCAATTAATTTTTTTTTTGGTCTAATCAAAATCAAACTATCCATGTTGAGATTAAGCTATATACAAGGAATAAATTCCTTGTTGCTGAGCCCCCTAAGAATTTGTAAAATTTAAACTCATGACATCTAGGTTTATAATTCATTTCTATTGCCACGTGTACAAGCCATTAGAATTTTGTGTCATTTTGTCCCTTCAACTACTTTCTCGCACATTTGACTGATTTCACATTGTCCAATACGCAAGCATCCATTAATTTTTTTGACGAAAAATATCAATGTATCAAGATAAACAGAAACAAAAATCGCATAATTCAAGAAAAAAAGTAAAATAACTTTCTGTTAAATTCCTAACGAACATCAATCATTTGGGGACTAGGTAATTAATAACATAGTTGGGGAAAAAATGACACAAACCTTATAGCTTGGAGAGGCATAGTGGAACTAACCCTTTAATTATTTTTATATATTCAACTCTATGATGAGAGTAAAGAATTAAAGCTTACCCAACCTCTCATCTTTATAAATATCTTTACAATTCACCTATGACACAATCTTGACTTCCCTAAGAAACATTAACCATCTTTTATAGTTGATTTAAAACCATAGCTTATTTAAATTTTTTTGATTCCATAATCTAGGAGTGTTAATCGTGTTCAAATTAATAGTGTTTAGGATTTGTGTCAAATATTATCAATTGCTTGTATGACCCGCTTAATTAATCATATTAAATGACTTTAACGCTATTTCACCAGCTTATTTATTAATCGTGTTACATGTGTCGTGTGCACATTAATACATATAATTTATGAACCTATAACTTAGGATTTATGATTCACTTGTTTATTAACCAAATCCACTATTTATAGGTTCCCTATAAACTGAAATTCACTTGATGTACATATTAGCAAAACCACATGGAAAATCTTACAAATCTACTAGGATTTATATAAATACAAGATAAAATTGTCAAAAGAAAAACTCAAACAGTCTGACATTTTTGCAAGCAATACCAATTAATTAGGCTTGTCATATTAAAATGATTTTATTTATGCTAGAACTTGAAGCTAATCTAAAACTATTTATTATCGGACTCTTCTCATTTTCGGAGAATCAAATCAATCATAATCTATTAAAAGTTTAGTATCTTCTGAGGAATTGGTGAATTAAATAGGATTTCTTTGTAGAGAATAATAAGTGGCAGGTCAATCACCAAAAATACCATTGTGAATGTTATAATTTCGAAAAAGCGTTGAAGTATTGTAATGATGTTTTATTTTTGACAGGCTAATTATACAAGAACAGGAGATACTGAAGATAAGAGTGAAGCCAGGATGGCAAAAAGGAACAAAAATCACATTTGAAGGCAAGGGAGACCAGAAACCAGGCACCCTCCCAGCTGATATAATCTTTCAAATCGACGAAAAGAGACACCCTATTTATAACAGAGATGGTGATGATTTGGAGCTTGTAGTTGAAATTCCTCTGCTTCAAGCTCTCACAGGTTGCACAATAACTGTCCCTCTGCTGGGAGGGGAGAAGATGACTCTCTCAATAATGGAGGACATCATATATCCTGGCTATGAAAAGATCATTCCTGGCCAAGGGATAACTAAATCCAAGGAAGAAGGCAGGAGGGGTGACCTTCGACTCAAATTTCTCGTCGAGTTTCCCACAGAATTGAGCNAGGAGGGGAGAAGATGACTCTCTCAATAATGGAGGACATCATATATCCTGGATATGAAAAGATCATTCCTGGCCAAGGGATAACTAAATCCAAGGAAGAAGGCAGGAGGGGTGACCTTCGACTCAAATTTCTCGTCGAGTTTCCCACAGAATTGAGCGATGAACAACGCTGCGATCTTGTTAGTATTCTGCAGAACTGTTCTTGATCATCAGTTTTTGTCATTTCAAGGTGTGATTGTTTTCATGGCAATTTAAATTGGAGTAAGTACAGAAAGAATCTTTCCGTACTCGAGATAACACTGTTTACATTTGACCAACCAAAGTGATGGGAACCAAGTACAGAAATAGTCTTATCTGTATTCGAGGTTNTTCATTTCAAGGTGTGATTGTTTTCATGGCAATTTAAATTGGAGTAAGTACAGAAAGAATCTTTCCGTACTCGAGATAAGACTGTTTACATTTGACCAACCAAAGTGATGGGAACCAAGTACAGAAATAGTCTTATCTGTATTCGAGGTTCTCAGATTCGACTCCTGTAGAACGGCAGTGACGAAAACTTTGTAGAATAGGCTATCTTAGATTGGATTATGTACAAAAACCATGTACATGCTTGTTAGCTGTAGAGCCACTTATATTACACTGGTAGATGTGGAGAATGTTCGGTTTCAGAATTGAAGTTTCACAATTTTCATGCTACCTCTGTGCCATCAATGAGTTACTTATAACTTACCTATTTTTCGAATGATCTGTCCAGATATTATAGATACAAGTTGAGCTTGCTATCACTATTTTCCCCATTTTAGATTTATGTTCTTTGGAGGACCAATGTGTTTAAACCCCTTTTAAATTGAGAAGTCTGCAATGTTTTCGTCCAAAACGGTCATAGAATGAGAATCGAGCAGTTAGAATTCAGTCAGTAAGAGAGATGCAGACAAAAATGTTTTAGTTTTACTGCTCTTGTAGTTTTACTGACAATTCCGTAAGAGTAGGTTTTGAGAATACTATGATTATGAGAGAGAGAGAGAGAGATTATTTTGCTCCAGTAGAAAATGAAAGATTTACAAGAGGGAGTGTCGTGACATTGAGCCACATGATGACTTGAAGTACATAGATATGAAGGAAACAGATTCACAAGCATATCAGCATAAATTTCAGAGGATNCAAGGGTAGGTTTTGAGAATACTATGATTATGAGAGAGAGAGAGAGAGAGATTATTTTGCTCCAGTAGAAAATGAAAGATTTACAAGAGGGAGTGTCGTGACATTGAGCCACATGATGACTTGAAGTACATAGATATGAAGGAAACAGATTCACAAGCATATCAGCATAAATTTCAGAGGATTGTTCAAAGACAACATGAGCTAAGAGTCATGACTATCAGACACAATACTTAAATAGGTAGATGCAAGTGTAGTCACCAGATGCACGGACGTATCATCACAATTTTCAGATGATGGGGCATCTTCAACCTNGACAACATGAGCTAAGAGTCATGACTATCAGACACAATACTTAAATAGGTAGATGCAAGTGTACTCACCAGATGCACGGACGTATCATCACAATTTTCAGATGATGGGGCATCTTCAACCTCCTTTTCTTTTCCTGCCAAAGAGAGCAACTTCAGTGATTGTCGCTCTTGGCAGATTATCCCCGAAGTACAGTCCCCATACCAGCTGCCAAGAGTTGCAAAATATGTAGAGGTTAAGTTTAACCACATGGCCATTGGGCATCAAGGTTTGGAGTTTGTTAACGGCGGACACTGCTGAGCAAGGAAAGGAACTTCAACAACTGTCCCTAAAATGTTGTCTCCAACAATTACAGTGTCCCCTTTAGACGCACCCTGCCTCTTTATATAGCCCAAACCAAAATACTCTGATTTTTTTCTGCCAGATGCATAGCTGGTCAGTTTCCCGACCTGCATAGATATGAAAGTAGTTTAATGTTCCCGCTGGCACTATTCCCCCTCCCAGTTCCCCAATGAATAAATAAGAAAAGAAAACAATTAACATCATTCAATGTGTAAATTGCTCCGTTTTCTTTTGTTTTGGTTGGCTCAGGGGGGTTGGTAGGGGGTTTAAGTAATATGGAAGCTCAAAAAGAAAGCAATTAATAGATAGTTCAGGGATCTGATATCTAAAAGAAGTACACAAGTTGCAGACCAATTTGAGGTATCATGTGGTAGCATAACATCATTAGTGGTTTACTAGGGCGCATCTGATTACAAGAAGGTCACAATTTTTTTATGGTTTAAGAGAGATGCGAGCCTTGCTTTATGAGCCAAACCTCTTCCTGTATGTAAATTTGTCCAATTTACTCAAGATTAGAGGATGAAAAAACTCACCTTTTTCCCATCAAACGTAATGGGGCTGCCTGGTTCCGCTGGTGATGATAGACGAATCCCCCACAGTCTCTGCTTGATACCATCATATGTTATAAGTCTTGAAATGGTTTCTTGCCCCTTATAACATCCTGAAGAGGTTTAACCATCGCGTAATCTATTTAGCAGAGATTCTTCTAGTAGAGTTAGGCAGGGATTTTTCAACGTAAGAGAATAAGGCACCTTTATTCAGAGAAACTGCATTCCAAAGACCAGCCTCCAAAACATTGAATTCATTAGTAAGCTCTTTACCAGGAGCTGGTCTTCCTGCACAAACTGAGTTGTTCATAGCTTGATACATATGAAATGACAAGGCAGAGAAAATCTGAAAGTACTAAACATAACCAGACCAACTTTCCTAATTTTTATTTGCAATTACTTTCTTTTCTTTTTTCTTTTTTCTTTCTTAATTGTTGTTCTGATTTTTTAGTTCCCAAGACATACTGGAGAAAAAAATTAAATCTTAAAGCCACCATTGAAAGCTCTTCTAGAACCAAGATTCAAAGTTGTCATATAATTTTGGAATAGCAAAACCACCATTGCAACCTCTTCTTGTACCAAGATTCAATGTTTCGCAGATATACTTGGTTGTCATTAACTTGCTAACCCCCCATTACAAAGTGCTTTTAGGTGTCATCAGCCATTCAATGCAGATCATGAAAAGAAGCAAAGTAAATCAACCAATCACCAAAGACGCATTATATTATGCCATATCAAGGCAAAACAGACAAATGACAAATTTCTACAAAACTCGTAGCAATTGCAAATATTAAATAATGTGATCGAGAGTGCCAACCTATCTAACATAATTTGAATTGAAGGTAACCATGAAATAAACAACATTAATAAAAGCTTCCAAAAAAAATCAGAAACTTTAAAAGCACAATATATAAGCCAAAATACTAAAAACATAATTTAACGACCTTGAAGAACCCTTAATGTTTCCCATGCACTAGAACCCATTGGGATTGCCCTTTGATTTAAAAGAGCGCTCCATACAAGTCCAGCAGCAGCAGGNAACTAAACATAACCAGACCAACTTTCCTAATTTTTATTTGCAATTACTTTCTTTTCTTTTTTCTTTCTTAATTGTTGTTCTGATTTTTTAGTTCCCATGACATACTGGAGAAAAAAATTAAATCTTAAAGCCACCATTGAAAGCTCTTCTAGAACCAAGATTCAAAGTTGTCATATAATTATGGAATAGCAAAACCACCATTGCAACCTCTTCTTGTACCAAGATTGAATGTTTCGCAGATATACTTGGTTGTCGACAAAGTGCTTTTAGGTGTCATCAGCCATTCAATGCAGATCATGAAAAGAAGCAAAGTAAATCAACCAATCACGAAAGACGCATTATATTATGCCATATCAAGGCAAAACAGACAAATGACAAATTTCTACAAAACTCGTAGCAATTGCAAATATTAAATAATGTGATCGAGAGTGCCAACCTATCTAACATAATTTGAATTGAAGGTAACCATGAAATAAACAAAATTAATAAAAGCTTCCAAAAAAAATCAGAAACTCTAAAAGCACAATATATAAGCCAAAATACCAAAAACATAATTTAACGACCTTGAAGAACCCTTAATGTTTCCCATGCACTAGAACCCATTGGGATTGCCCTTTGATTTAAAAGAGCGCTCCATACAAGTCCAGCAGCAGCAGGTGACATCAACATTGAGAAACCATTTTCAGAGATGAGGCTTCCCACTCCTATTGTTAATGGCATCCCACCCACCTGCATGAGGAAAAGGACTTTGAATTCTGTTTTTCTTTATACAGTACAGGAATAACAAGTAGAATCCGAGGTACAAAGCTGAAAAGAAAGAATAGAAGTTCAAGCAAAAATGGAATCCTATGCCAATCAACAATCTAAATATCAACAACTAAAATAATAACTGAGCTAATCCATGAATGTCTGCCTACCCTCAAACAGCCATGCACACAAATCACTTATAGGGCCAGTTTCATGTTAACTAAAAGTAACTTACTCAGATGTTTATGCCTGTTCACCGGGCAAAACTAANTGCTAATCCATGAATGTCTGCCTACCCTCAAACAGCCATGCACACAAATCACTAATAGGGCCAGTTTCATGTTAACTAAAAGTAACTTACTCAGATGTTTATGCCTGTTCACCGGGCAAAACTAAAATCATAATATATCGACGTGGAAACAAATGTAGACAAGTCCATTAAATAAATAATTGACAAAAAAGTAACAGATGAAGGCAAACTGAAAATTACAGTATAATGCTTATGTGAGCCATATGGCTGTCNCGACGTGGAAACAAATGTAGACAAGTCCATTAAATAAATAATTGACAAAAAGGTAACAGATGAAGGCAAACTGAAAATTACAGTATAATGCTTATGTGAGCCATATGGCTGTCCAACAAGGTCTCCAAGATTTAAATCCTCCATCACCTGTTTGCACACCATTAAAATCATACTAACTAGATTACTGACAAACAAATGTAAAAAGGAAAAAAAACAGCCAATGAAAAATTCACTAAATCTCTTACTTGGTTGCTTTTAGGTCCCACCAGTACAAACAAGCTTGTTTGCTTAGTGATGTCTTGAATTTCTACCTTGTCAGCAAAAAATATGTACCTATAAATTGACAATTGAAGACACTTAGGACATTTTCCATCTTTCCACGGAAAAAAAAAAGGCTGAAAATTTAATACTTTGGAAGTAGCAAAAGCAGAAATTGCATTTTACCCTTTTTAGAGACAAGTTGGTGACATCCAACTTGTAATATGGTAGGAATTATTGCATCTTTAATCTTAGAACAACAAAACAAATTTATTTTCATTCTTTGAGGATTGACACAGAACATAATTCATCAAAGTGACATCCGTAAACAAGAAGAGTGTCTCCTCTGAGTAATGAAAAAGAATCAAAAAAAACTAAAGGGAGAAAAAAGATAACAAAGAAAACAAGCAGCCTATAATAAAATAACAAGATAAAAGAAAAAAAAGGGGGCTTAAAGCAAAAAAAGGTCTCAAAAGTTGAGGCTCATTATACAAGGTAGTTACTTTCATGATAACCCAACCCAGGTATCCAAAATAAGGACCCNGGGGGGCTTAAAGCAAAAAAAAGTCTCAAAAGTTGAGGCTCGTTATACAAGGTAGTTACTTTCATGATAACCCAACCCAGGTATCCAAAATAAGGACCCAGCGCATGTATCCAACAAATAAGAATAAACTCACAGGCATCTCGTCCATCTTTTAACTCCCAATATTTTTTCTTCCTTCTACAAGTTCCGTTATTAAAACCAATATCTATGAGAAAAAAACTGCTTCCATTAAAAAGGATACAATGCCACTTACCCTCCCAAAAAAAAAGTAAGCAATGCTTTCCATAAGCTCAAAATAATTATTGACACGTAAAAAAGGGCCTAAAGATTGAAAGTAAGTAATAGTTTAAGCCTCCTATACAGATCCAGATGAGCAAAGTTTCTCCTGCTGCTCCTAATCATCTCAATCCAATATTGGAAAAAACTGACCATCGTTACCCATGTCGTATATTTATAAGTAGCACTAAAATAACCCACTTAACAACTACACAAAACATGATAATAATATCCAAACTCCTATAACACCCACTCCCTTTTCATCCTCCATCATTCTATTCTGGTTCTTGCTCTCAACTAAGGATCTACGCATGAACATTTTGAGTGACTGGAAACTGATGAAAATCTTATGGATGCTCAAAAAGTTATTGCTGGTCATTGCCGCATGCATCCCTTTGCAGAAGTAATACACTAGTAAATTGATCGAGAAAGGAAACTAAAACTCTTTGCATTTGATCCTTTCGTTTAACTAAAACATACAATGACATGGGTGTGGGATAAAATTGCAGTCATTGCAAAACTAAAAAGGAGAGGAAGAGTGTGAATCAAAAGCATATGTTGAAAGTCAGAGTAATCTATACATAGACATATAGTCTAAGAACTTTAGGAACATACTTGCTAAGCATTTCAGTTATGTTTCCACTGGTCCCTGGCGAGACTACCAATGTAATTGCATTTTTCTGTGCATGTGAAATAATCATTACACAGTATATGACAGTTACAAATAAAGAAAAACAAATTAATAATCAAGAAAAAAGGCAGAGAAAATACCATGATCCATGCATTGGCTATATCTATCGTTCGAGCTGTAGGTGTCACAAAAACTGTGTCACATCCCTACATGTTTCAACCATTTTATCCTACCCATTAACCTTGTAAGACTATCAACATCAAAATAAAAATCATTAAACATATTGCTTGACATTTTCAAATGAAATTGGCACGCTCCCATTAACCTCACAACCTACCTGTCCCTCGCGTAGACACTCAAAATTTGCAGTACTTTGGTTGTGAAGAAATTGAACACGGTCTTCTCCACTGACTTCATGTCAATTGAACCCCCAAAGGACCCCAAAAGAAAATTAAAGCATCAAACTCACTAGCAAAATGTCCAATGAACTCAACAGATATTTGTTTGCAAAATCATTGACGTAATCAAAGAGCAATTCTGATTCACCAGGACACTCAAATTTAATAGACATCTATTTAGATGCAGAAAGTAACAAAGAGAACATAAATAAATTGCAGATTGATCATGGACAAGTTATCACAATGCAAAAAACTTTAGTGCCGGAGAATAAAATCAAAATTGACAATAGAATTCCGCACAGTAAGAGTTGCCACACTACACCATGTAACACCATCCAAAATTGAACACAAAATTTGAAAGGTTCTAATAGTTGTGCTTTATTGCATACCTGCAAGCATGCTTTTTCTTCATTTTATTGCCTATAATTAAGGAGAATTTTTGTGTGGGTTTAACACACCACATGGCAGTGTCAAGCAATGTAAATCGCCAACAAAAAATTGTACATTTCTAATGAATGACTGTCACCTATTATTTTGTCAATTTTTTTTATTTTTTTTTGAAAAAGCCAACTACTGTGCCCCACAAGCTAGTTGTGTGGCAGCTTTTTGTTGGGTGTACACACCACATGGTAGTGTCACCTGGTGTGTTAAATCCATTCAAAAATTTCTTAGCACAACAACTATTTAAATATCATTTAGAAGTTCGATATGTAAAGGAACATACTGCTTATTACAATGGCAAATGTGAATTTTTGGGTTGGGAATCTTTAGTGGACATTTCTCTCTTGCCTAAAGGGCTCGAGTTCATGAAGAATTTCCAAATTTTTCTGTTGAACCTTCAATGTATCAATCACTTTTCTTCACAGTGTACTCTTGTTTGAATTAGATATGCTACTAATTTAATTACTGAAGCATAAAGCATTTACAAAACATAGTAGATTTCTCATCAACTAAACAAGCAGTAAAGTTTTAAACAAGATTTAAAGATGTTTCACGTAAATGAAAGAATAAGAGATAGAACAGACCAATGCGGCCATAATGTTAGAAGAGTGTACCTCTTATGCGGCCATAATGTGAAAGGTCCACGACCTACAACGACAAATGACATAAAAAATCTGTTATCATTAAGGCAACCAATTCTGAGACATGAATTCAGTCTAACAAAATCTGTGCAACACCACTAGAAATTGGGATCACAGCGTATATGAAAAATAATCTGAATACAGACACAAGCCAGCTCTGAAATTAGTATGCCTTTCAAATTGCTTGAAAAGCATTTCTTTAAGAAAAATAAATAGAAATGCAATGCAATGCGAAGCAACCCAGAAAAGGAAAGCAGTTGACATGGTACACTTTTCAATGCGAGATATGCACTTCGGAGAATAGTTACCATGCTGTGCCCTTTTGAGTGAAAGATCTCTAAGAAGTGAAAAAAAACAACTTAAGTTCTTTGATCAATGAGCTGGCTCCTGAAACGCACTCAAAGCAAACTGTGATAACTACTACAAGGTCACTGTTCCAACTTGCAACCAAAACCAATCACAGAACCATCTCATATCAAATCCACTGATAGATGCAATTCCAAAGAATGTAACTCGTGCCCTTAATTTCAGCCTATATAGGTCCAGGCATTTTGACTATCTACCATTACAGCTTAGATTTATCAATATCCGAGAGCAACTTTTTTTTTTTTTGGGGGGGGGGCAGTTCTCATATGCACACATTTTAAAAAAGTGTCAAAGATTTGAGGTTATGATGCCTTGGCATAGTGGTATAGGTTGGAGTGCTATGAAGCGTGCACCAGGTTTTGAATCAGTAGGTGAGAGAAGGGGTTATACTCTACACTGGCAACCAAAAAAATGGTCAAAGATTTGACATTCCAAGAACTACATGAACTTCATTGCAGTTTGATGAAATGAACCACTTCGAAGTCGATTAAGTCTGCACAGACCAAGATTAGCAAACTTTGAAGTACTACAGATTAGGTATATATAAAATTCAACATTGTACTGAGTACAGATGCCACATGACTGCTTGGAAAACAAACCTAGAGCCACCATTAATGCCTCACACAAAAAAAACAAAGGAAGATATCCACCACAATTATAAGAAGAAGAATAGCAAATCTGAATCAAACTAGGTACCCACCACAACTGCATTGTCAACTGCATCTAACGCCTTTTCATCGTTATCAAATGTTTTAATTATCCCATCTTCTGACGCCTTTGCACCTGCAACTGTAAGAGTATCCTGCGAATATTCGAGCAATAACTCCTATGGACATGGTGCTTCAGGAACAAAAGGACCATCAAAGAANATTGTACTGAGTACAGATGCCACATGACTGCTTGGAAAACAAACCTAGAGCCACCATTAATGCCTCACACAAATAAACAAAGGAAGATATCCACCACAATTATAAGAAGAAGAATAGCAAATCTGAATCAAACTAGGTACCCACCACAACTGCATTGTCAACTGCATCTAACGCCTTTTCATCGTTATCAAATGTTTTAATTATCCCATCTTCTGACGCCTTTGCACCTGCAACTGTAAGAGTATCCTGCGAATATTCGAGCAATAACTCCTATGGACATGGTGCTTCAGGAACAAAAGGACCATCAAAGAAGTGGAAGTAAAAGGCCAAGCAAGCATGTGTACCAATACATAGTAAGTTAATCCTAATAAATGACTACGAGAAATACAATGCATTAGCTAAAATCACACCAATTTGTCATGCCTGAGGACAAAGAAGTCATTCTTCTACAAAGCAAATCTAATTGTTTTTCCCAGAAAATTTGCCAAGTATGGTAACAACAGTATACCAGACTATTAATGGAAAGACCCCTTTAAAGGGAACCAACATGATTCTCTTATGGATGATTGATTAATCAGTCACTTAACAACACACACAATGATATTAACTAATAGAACAGACACGTGCATGATCAAACACACATATAAATCAGTGTACATGATAGTGCCATACCATCTATGTTTTCAAAATTACAATTGACCACAAAAATTAAAGTCTTAAACCCATCATATTATAGGATTGCCGTGGAAGCAATGGGGGGAAAAGTTAATATGAAAATTCTTAAGTTTTTCCTCGTGAGCTTTAGGCCATGAGATCAAATGTCCAATTTAATCAAATGTTATAGAATGAAGAATTACTTGCGCCAGGAGGTGAAACTAATAAGAAACACAAATTCAATTCCGTACTCAGAAGGATCCCTAGACCTTTTTCATTCCTCAAATTGGACACAGCATACATTGAATCCATATGATTGCTGAATTTTCAAACTTCTGATAATTTTTTGGCAAAATTTCACTACAATTTGATTGGGCTCAGTATCTGAATTTTCAAAAAAGACACAATTGATAGACAATTAGTAAACCAGCATCTTATATCAACCATTCATGGACCCAATCATCGTATTCACTTGTAATTAAACTTCTGAGGACTACGACAGTTCAAACAACTTACCCAAAACAATCGTATTTCATTGACAGAGATAATCTACACAAGGAAAAAAATCCTTAAAAAAAACAAAACTCAACCATTAGCTCTAGCTAATTACATTTCCTTACATTCATTTGATGATTAATTACAATTGTACTCTTTGAAATCGTCTAAAATTTTACAACTGGTTTATATCTCATTAAAATAAATTCTGATTACACACTTTTGTGGTAGAAATTGTGATCAAATACCACAATTCAAACACCAAAATTTTCAAATTTCGGAATTTTACTGAACAAAATTTCCAATACATAGTGTTTGTGTGAGTTTAAGTGACTTACGAGGAGGTCGTGATCGATAGGAGGAGGAGAAAGGTCGAATGGCAACGCATCAGATGTCGTTGATGGGAGAGAGAGGTTTCGAGTCCGGAAAGCAGCGTTTTGGTACTGATGAGAGGTAAACGTCGACGGAGAGATCGAACACCGTCGGAAATTCACCCTCCGGCCACAGAAACTACAGGCGGTACAGACCACTTGGCTAACGAAATACATAGTAGCCATTTAGGCTTCGGAGTTCGGAACACCCTCCTCTTCTACTTCCACCTTTATTTGTAAATGTATTTTTTTTTTTTTGGGCGAATCGCATTTTGTTTGCTCAAAAATTTTAAGATTACAATTTTCATTCTATATTATAATATAATATTTTTATTAATTTTCAATTTTTTTTGTTAGTTTTTCAAAAAAAAAACTAACAGAAATGTCATGTTATAATATTTTTGATACATTAAATATATAATATGAGAAATTTAATATTGGAATGTATAAAATAAAAATCTTAATTTTATTTAGGGTGTGTAAAGTGTAAAAAATCCTTTTATTTTTAGGCTAAATACTTTACCTGAATTACACTTTGTACCTTAAAAAGTTTACATGTTAATTACTCATAATTTTTATTTTTTAATAATTTTTTATATATTTTTATACAAACAATATCTCGTGTGCAAAGACAATTATAGCATAAAAAAATTTGAGAATCCAAAAAAATTAATCCCGTTATATGAAATAACAAATTTTCTTTCCTCCCTTTTCTTTAATTATATAAATGGAAATTAATTTTTACCCATTATATTTAAAAAAATTATAAATTTAATCAAAATACATGACCTTAGAAAAATGTCAATATGTTTATATTATAGAATATGAATCCTGTCCAAAATAAAAATATAAGGATCAAATTTAAAATTCTAATTATCTTCATATCTCATTATTTTATAATAATGCACATGTTCCTGCTAGTTTATTACACCCGTATTTAATAAATAATTAATATTGTTGAGAGAATTTATCACGTAACACAAAAAATATTTATTGTAATTTATGATATAAGTCATGTAATTAAACAAAACAATAACACATGTAACTGACTCAATTATAAAACAGGAACGAATTTTGAAATGATCAAGGTTAATATTTTCATACTATGTCCTCAATAAAGATTTATCTCGTCCATAGTTGTGCTTATTGATTGTTGAGCGTTTGTCTCTTAATATACAATAATCAATTTAAACATATGAAACACTACAATCTATATGCACAACGAATCAAAATGTTAAGTATGACGCGTAACAAATCTAAGTTGTTTTATAGATGCAGACGTGACTGTTTGGAATAACCATCACTGGTTTCAACGGGAAAAAAATTAAATTGGAGGAAAAAATTAAGAACTCAATTGGTTAGATCACACCAACACTTAGACAATGTGATCAAACTCAAGCCCATTTAGGTCATCTTTTGTTCACAAAAGTGGAGTGCCCCTTAGGACTCGACTCTTAGAGTAAACTTGGAGCGTATATGCTCATTTAAATCTCATATGTCTCACTTTAATTTAGGTTAAAAGTTGACAAAAAATTAATTTTTATACCAACAAAAACTATTTTAGTCTAACAAAGAACATATGCAATCGTAACTCAAAATTTTTCATTTAAATTTGAGTAAAATTTTGAATACAAAACTTGATTTGATACCAACTACTTAATTGTATAAACTTTTTTTTTTTTTTGAAAATAATTGTATAAACTTGAATATCCTCTCAAATTCACATTATACCAAAAACTCTTCTTTTTTCCATTAAAACATTTTTCTCTCATATCTTCTCTCTTTTTATGTGGAAACAACATTTTTTGCTACGAGGGAAGACCACGTATGTCTAACTCTCTTTAAACCTTATAATTAGGCCTGTTAAAATTCGATACGACACGAATCGACATGAATTAAGCGAGTTTAGATGACACCTTAACGGGCTCGGGTAGTAAACGAGTTAACCCACCGGCAGACACGTTTAATAAACGAATCATATTCCGGTGAAACCTGTCAACTCATTTATCCGTTTGAAAAAAAATTAATATAATAATAAATTAATAATTATTTTTAAAAAATTAGACAAAATTAAAATATATTCTTCGTATTTCACAAGCACTTCATGAGTAGATACGCTACTGGACTCCACAGGTTTTCTGGGTTTACTTCTCTGCATTCCTTCTTGGACACAGATTTTCTGGACATCTTGGAAGCTTTTATTTTGCTGGATATTCATCTTCTGTATTGCTACAAGAAGGAGGAGTTTTTGTCTAGAAGCTACTTTTATTGTCCAGAAGCTATAAGGAGGAGGACATATTGGAATCTTCTGCATTGCCAGAGGCAGAACCTCTCTCTCCCTCTGAAAGCTCATTTCCTTCGTCTGTTTAAAATTACCGGATAGTATCCTTTTGACTTGAATCTCACGTCAATAAATTCAAATGAAAGAGATCTATCATGTGCCGATAAAAAAATGTAGCCCCTTCTTTTAGTTATTTAAACTTCTTGCATGGTTTTGCAAATGACAGCCAGTTGAAAATTTTTTAATTAAAAAAGTACAGTTAGTGTGGGTAATTAATAGAATTTAAAATTTTAATAGGATAGTTTTTGCTGTGGGTTAAAATTTTAATAAAATTAAATGAGTTAAACGAGTTATTAAATAGTTTGTGTTTTAATGTTTTACCCGTTTTTTAAATGTGTCTTGTACGGATTCATATTTTTTCTACTCGTCACTTGTTTAACCCAACACATAACCGTTGAACCCAACACGTTTGACACTCTTACTCGCAATGGCAAAAACTTTGTACACTGGGTATGCCCATCTTCTCTCTTCCTCTGTTCTTTGAAGATCAACCCATCGAAGACCAAATCAACGAAGGCCGCTATTGTTCAAGAGGCTACTAAATCAGACGATGCTTTGCTCCTCAAATCACTGTCGAGATCAACTCTCAAACCTCTCCCTTTGTAATGACGGTAAGTGTTGAAGACATCAGAGAGGTCGACGTCTCATGTTTATGCTCTTTGCACGGAAGAATTGTGTTGGGCTGTTGGGTAAAAAGTTACAGTGGGGATTTTGGTATGAAATAAGAGTCTCCCTCAATTTGTATCAATAATAAGTTTTTTTTTTTTTGGTATAGGTTTGAGAAGTTTTTTGGGTCTAAATTAGAGTTACGATTGGATATACCTTAACAAAGACATGGTAGAGTTCGAATATGTGTATACCCCTTACGCCCATCACCCTCATATATTACCCTGCGGAAAGGTTTTTGCTCAAGGTCAAGCATTAATNTCTGTCAACTCATTTATCCGTTTGAAAAAAAATTAATATAATAATAAATTAATAATTATTTTTAAAAAATTAGTCAAAATTNCCTGTCAACTCATTTATCCGTTTGAAAAAAAATTAATATAATAATAAATTAATAATTATTTTTAAAAAATTAGACAAAATTAAAATATATTCTTCGTATTTCACAAGCACTTCATGAGTAGATACGCTACTNCACGTCTTAAGGCATGTGATAAAAAGTCACACGTGTATAGCACATGATTAAACCATACCTTTGCAAGCCATGATATTTTGTCAATCAAACAGACGCCATAATAAATCGAGCAAGCAACAAAAGTGCTCAGTCAAGAAAGTCGAGCTGATAGAAGAATTGAGCGGTCAATACGGCCGAACAGGTACACAAATTAGGGTTTTATTCAGACTTATCTAATGATAAAAGATAACAGCTAGGCTATCCCGAGTAATTAGATGCGTCGTTTCTACCGCGAGTTAACAAAGATCTGGTTAGAAAATAGGTGTGCCACCTTGTGTGGCCAATGGAGAAAACCCTACTAGAAACGACGCTACAAGTGTATAAAAATTGGATGATGCTCAANCTGGACTCCACAGGTTTTCTGGGTTTACTTCTCTGCATTCCTTCTTGGACACAGATTTTCTGGACATCTTGGAAGCTTTTATTTTGCTGGATATTCATCTTCTGTATTGCTACAAGAAGGAGGAGTTTTTGTCTAGAAGCTACTTTTATTGTCCAGAAGCTATAAGGAGGAGGACATATTGGAATCTTCTGCATTGCCAGAGGCAGAACCTCTCTCTCCCTCTGAAAGCTCATTTCCTTCGTCTGTTTAAAATTACCGGATAGTATCCTTTTGACTTGAATCTCACGTCAATAAATTCAAATGAAAGAGATCTATCATGTGCCGATAAAAAAATGTAGCCCCTTCTTTTAGTTATTTAAACTTCTTGCATGGTTTTGCAAATGACAGCCAGTTGAAAATTTTTTAATTAAAAAAGTACAGTTAGTGTGGGTAATTAATAGAATTTAAAATTTTAATAGGATAGTTTTTGCTGTGGGTTAAAATTTTAATAAAATTAAATGAGTTAAACGAGTTATTAAATAGTTTGTGTTTTAATGTTTTACCCGTTTTTTAAATGTGTCTTGTACGGATTCATATTTTTTCTACTCGTCACTTGTTTAACCCAACACATAACCGTTGAACCCAACACGTTTGACACTCTTACTCGCAATGGCAAAAACTTTGTACACTGGGTATGCCCATCTTCTCTCTTCCTCTGTTCTTTGAAGATCAACCCATCGAAGACCAAATCAACGAAGGCCGCTATTGTTCAAGAGGCTACTAAATCAGACGATGCTTTGCTCCTCAAATCACTGTCGAGATCAACTCTCAAACCTCTCCCTTTGTAATGACGGTAAGTGTTGAAGACATCAGAGAGGTCGACGTCTCATGTTTATGCTCTTTGCACGGAAGAATTGTGTTGGGCTGTTGGGTAAAAAGTTACAGTGGGGATTTTGGTATGAAATAAGAGTCTCCCTCAATTTGTATCAATAATAAGTTTTTTTTTTTTTGGTATAGGTTTGAGAAGTTTTTTGGGTCTAAATTAGAGTTACGATTGGATATACCTTAACAAAGACATGGTAGAGTTCGAATATGTGTATACCCCTTACGCCCATCACCCTCATATATTACCCTGCGGAAAGGTTTTTGCTCAAGGTCAAGCATTAATTCAATTTGTAAGCATTGGATTATGGGATGGCACAAAATGACGGCACATGATTAGACTAACTAAAATGACCGTGCGTCTTAAGGAATGTGAGAAAAAGTCACGCGCATATAACACATGACTAAACCATACCTTTGCAAGCCATGATATTTTTCCAATCAAACAGACACCACAATAAATTGAGCAAGCAACAAAAGTGCTCAGTATAGAAAGCTGAGTTGATAGAAGAACCGAGCAGTCAATACGACCGAACAGGTACACAAATTAGGGTTTTATTCAAACTTATCTAATGATAAAAGATGACAGCTAGGCTATCCCGAGTAATTAGATGCGGTGTACAGCTGATAAGGAAGTTGTTGAAATCATAAGTGAACATTATAAACATGACTTAAATATTAGGCGAATAGGAAAGGATATCCAAAGGGATTCTAGCGCGAGTTAACAAAGATCTGGTTAGAAAATAGGTGTGCCACCTTGTGTGGCCAGCGGAGAAAACCCTACTAGAAACGACGCTACAAGTGTATAAAAATTGGATGATGCTCAAGTCTAAAGTACGCACTTTATTCCATGCAATTCATTTGCTTATTCTCAGAATTCTTAATGACTTAGAATACCTACAACCGATTATGTTTTAATCTGATCAAGATTATAATATAGAAATTATTTTTAAAATTTTTAAATAAATAAATAGATCTCAAAAATAAATTCATTTCATGAAAACAAGTCAAATAATTATAATATTGACTATGTTTTATAAATATTCAAGGTGTCTGAACAGTGTAATGAATGTAAAAATATGTGTCACATAAATAAATACATAATTTACAGAAAAAGGTGTTAAGGGTCGCATTGAAATTAATAAATGAAGATATATGTGGCATTTGTCTTGATTAAAAAAAATTATAAAATAAACAAAATGGGCAAGTGTCCATGGTGATGTATTGAGGAAGGATCTCCTCCCATGTCACGTCACTCTATAAATACGGTTTCCGTATTGGTCACCTTATCCCACGTATATGAAATATAATTTTTTATTTTTCTATTCGATACGTTACGAAATAATTTTTTTTTTACCTATCATACTCGATCAAGTGTGGTATTTCTACCCCGACTTCCATCCAAATTAATCGGATAGGAAATCAGGTAGAAAATGAGGTGAACACTTTTGCAGTTATTAATTTTTGAATCATTTTAACAATTCAATTAAATAACATTCAATTACAATAAAACACAAAGAAAGTATAAACATCGATTCATCATAATTATTGCACAAATACAATAAAAATTATTTTACGTTTAAACTATATGGTTAGAGAATTAGGGTTTTTAGTTTATATATATTAATTAATTAATTAATTAATGCGGATAAGATAGGAATACAAAAATTAATAGTTATTATGTATTTCTACCCGATTTAATCAGAAGATTAAAAACTCTTTCGTATTTCTACCCGATTTTTTCGGTTAGTCATTCAATAGGGTTGTGTAAGATAGAAAATTGTGACTAATCAAAAATTTGAACACCTCTATCAGTAACAAAAACATGGAAGAAAGGAAGAAACGAGAGAGAAAGAATAAAAAAATGATAATGAGATTTTAAGTTCAAAATTAAATGGTAATTTTATCTCAAAATTTATGAAATTTGTCTATGTTGCTCTCATAACGATGGTGATCAGATTTATTAGAATCATTGATTATTTTGAATTATGGGGTGCTATATAATATATTTTTATTTTTCAATCTCATTGTAAATAGTGTCCTTTTGATAATCCGAAAACTATATTTCTTATTGATTATCTTATGTTGATATGAAATTCTGTCATTTTTGTTAATTTGACTTACATTTTAGAATAAAAACTTTGTGATTGATTACAAAGTTTACTTGATTCATGTTGTGTAAATATATGATTGTGGCTCTATGCCCTATTGGGTTTGATTGGTGCGATTGTTGGTATGAGTATGGATTTATATGCCTAATCAAAAAAAATCAAATATAAGACTATATTTGATATTAGTTGAGCGATGTAACATATTCAATTTGATTGACGATTCTATTGTCTACAATTGCCTATTGATTGACTTATTTGATATTTGATTATCCGTATTTGATCGTTAAGAATATAATTTCTAATCATATTGTATATTTGTTCGCTTTTAATATTTTTGAGGCTAATCTTAAATTAAAGGGCTAGAATTTGACATATCAAGCAATTGTAGATTTATAACTGTTACTTTTATTGTTCTAATATATAATTTGAGGACACTCATTTACAAATTTTGGAAGCTATTTTTTAATTAAATTTTGTGGTAATTCAAGTTCTATTTTTTATTTAAAGATATATTTGTGATATATTATTATCAATTTTATTAATTATTAATGTGTCCGAGAAACTAGGACGTTACAAAAATAATTAGCCTTTGACATTTCCAAATTAATATGAAGACGTATCATTTTTTTTAATGTATCAGTAATTAAATGTTGAATTTTGTCTGTGCTTAATTGAGTTCTTATGAAAAGTAAATAAAATCAACAAAATAGGAAAATATAAGGAATTTAAAACTTAATTTTTTTCTCCGATGCTAGCTCAAAAGTCTATAATATAAAACAAAACAGATTTCAATAAATTCATTCGATGATTTCAAATAAACTCATCCAACGGCCACCACCATCTCTCTAAAAATTATTTACATTGTACTGTGTCTTTAGACATATACGAGTTACCTCCGGTAAGTTTTTATTACAGCACGGAATTAAGGGAGGTTTTATTTCATTTCATAAAAAAAAAATGGTGTCAGCACATAATATTCGAAAACTCCGGGGGTATTAGTATAAATTACCCAAAGAGAATGGACCATTTCCATTTATTGAATGGTCCAATAACAAAAAAAATTATTGATTAAATGAAAAAAAGGGAAGAACTTCACTTTGAACTCTAAAATATTTAAAAATTCATATTTTATTCATTTAAAGATTAAGTTTTTATATTATACTCTTAATATATTAAAAATATTATAATATGACCCTTATGTTAGCTCTTATTTTGATAGAACAAATAATGGAAGTTAACAAAAGAGATACATTATAATATTTTTAATATGTTAAGGGTATAATATGATAATTTTAATCTTTTAAGGTCCAACATAATTTTTTTTAAAATTTTGGGGGTAAAAAGTGAGTTTCCTCCTCGGAAAAAAGAAGAGAAGAAGTTATTGCTGCTTTCTTTCGTCTCTGTTTGATCTCTCTTCCATCTGTAGTTCTGTACAGACTCTCTGTCTTCTCTTTTACACAATTTCGCAAAACACACACTCCCCCCCCCCCCCCTCTCTCTCTCTCTCTCTCTCTCTCTCTCTCTGTATATATATATATCGAGGAAATGAGAAAACGGACAGTGATGGTATGTGGAGTGGCGATAGTGTGTTTCGTAGTACTGATGGTTGTGACTCCAGCCATTCCTCAGTCTCAAGAATATCATGATTTTGCTGACAAACGCCAATTCCTCGGTAATTTCCTTCTTCCCTAATCTCGCAGTTTCTTCTTTGAGTTCCTTGAATCTGAATGTTATGTTCCTGGAAATTTTCATCTCTTTTTAGGGTTTCAAAGAGAACAATTTCATGTTTGCTTTCGATTATTACTGTTATATATAATATCTTAGGTTTGCTCAGGTCTAAGCAAAAGTATTGTCACTTTTGTTTGTCGATCAGTTTTTTTTTTTTTTTGGGGGGGGGGGGGG